CGTTGCACATCTCCACTCATTGTCAAACAGTATGTCAACAAAATTATGTAGTTTTGCAATTCATGAATCATCAGCAGTATCGAGCGCGTCCGTTTAAACGTTAGACAACATTGCATCATTATCATTGACCTTTGATCGTCTAGCGAGACTAATTATTGAGTCTTTAATGCATTCAGAACGAGTTCTCTCCGGAGATAGGCGGATTCTAATCCGGGAGCTCCGAGGGGAACGAGCGGGGAAATTTTTGTGTACGTACATGAGTACGTCCACTCCCTACGGGTCTAGTTCCTCATTCAGTGAAACAATGAGGGTTTCTCAATATGAAACTAAGACCAGCGGGGTGAAGCACGTATGCGGTAACGAGTGGGGATAGCAAGACAGAAAGTAGCGACATCTTGTGGCATACTACCTCATTGGAAGTAGCGACATCTTGTGGCATGCTACCTCCCGTCTTACCTCCCTACCTTCACCCGCACACGTCGCACCCCCGATGGCCCTCGTTCATTGATCGAGAACCCCTCCTGTCTATCTACTTACACGGCCCACACGTCTCGCGAAACTCGGCGGCTTGCAACGTTCAACATAGACTCTCCGTCTCGGTACTTAAGCGCCGGTGTGATCCTGGATTCTGCGTCCTTTACAAAGTAGTATGTCCGGCGGATTGGATGTTCACGGCCATTGACGTGGGAATATATGGACGAAGCATTTGCTAAGAAAGGCGAGAGAGGGGGGTAGTGATATTCGACGTAAAAGATCAAACCACCGACTTCGGTATATTTCGGTTACGTTCGGTAATATTCGATGCGTGCTGAGAGAGAAGACGCTTCCACAGAACAGTGACAGAACACTGTACTATACATTTACTATACACTATACGAATACTTCCGAGCTACGCTCACGGAATTAGCCGAAATCAGTTGTTGTAAGTCTCGCTGTGCGTTACTTACAATGTCACACTTAGTGATAAGCAGGTCACTGTTGCAATCTAATATTGCAACGGTGACCCATACTAATTGAGGACACCGACGCAGGACTTCGGCAACCTCAATACGAGTCCTTCCCACGTTACACCCCTGCCACAGTGTACCATTGGTGTCAGAAGTGGGATTGCAGGAGCGATCCCAGGGAAGAGACTCACGAAGCCGACAAGCGAAAATCTGTAAGTCTAAAAACAGATATTACTGAAATTCTGTCTACTGGCACGACCATAGACAAATTCGTAACCAGCGCGACATATATTGCCGCTGAGCCGCCGTATACGTCGATTGAATGCAAGCCGCAGCATAATAAAAGCCGGCATTACGGAAGGCGAAAGAAAAACGGACGGAGATAAGACGTGCAATCGAAGAATTGCACGAACTCCCGCGTCGTACAAAAAATATCTTGGAGGAGAGATCCGGAGCATCTATCGCCAATTCCACGAGTAGACAACGCCGTAGCAGCTTTAGAGATGCCACGGACCTGACCACCGACAACACTGATGCCGCATCGCAGAGTAGAAGGCCACCGCCGCTGCCGTAACCTGAGCCGAGCCGAGCGCCGATAAAGACCAGCCGGACAGCGAAAACAAGCCACCATGCGAGCGAGCGCCGTATTGTAAGTCCGTACATATTAAGTCGATATCTGCGTATGTCAAGCGATCGATATTATCACCGTCATTCATCGCCGGAGTGTACGTGGCCTTTTCGGAACCGTGTAAAATTGATAAACACCGTACCTGAATTAAATAGAGCCGCGGAAGCGTTACCGGACATACAGGATAGCGTGCGTAGGATTTTAAATTTTCCTATTGAGAGCGAAACAGGCTCACCCACACACGTAACTCGCGAACGCGAATTTCCAATCGCCGCGAACGACTTTAGTTTACTCGGGATAAACGCCACAGGCGAATTTGA